TTCTACCTTAAGTTTCCACTTACCATTCGTTTTCGTCTATTTTCCGATCGTGTTTACCCGTTTTCGTATTTCCGTTTATTCCGCTACCGTTTTTATTCCCGGCTGTCCGGCTCCCGCTCCCATTTTCATCTAAAAATATGAAAACAAAAATGATAGGGCGATTCCCCGTTCATTTTCGTCCATTTTCAACGTTAGCTCTCCCGGTCTCACCCACCGGCAGCAGCAGGCCAGCAGCCGTAGAAGATTTACCGGCCATCGATGTACCTTTTTTTTTCTATTACAAAGGAAGAAATGAGATCCGTTATTTTTCAGGAAAATAAATAAATTTCACTTGATAGTTTTGCTCCCCTTGGATGCCAGCCAGCCAGAAGTCTCTCAACTGGGGGTTCAAAATTTCAGCGAAATCACTACTCGCGAATTCCAGGATTTTTATCGTTTAGTGGAAGGCCATTTAATTTTTTTTATGTTAGAACAATCTAATGTACAGTGGTAGAACAAGTTGCTCGGATTAACCAACCGGTTAGGGGGATTCGTTTTATCATCGTTCTTTTTTTTTGAACCAGAAAATCCAGAATTCACATATTCCAACAATTCCGTTCATGAACCGTAAAAAAATCTCGGCTGTCGGTCGACATCGTTGTTCGTCAATCTACCACTTGGCTATTTTTTTTGTCTGTTATATGTTTTCTAGTTGCTTCATGGACAACCATGGTTGTCACGACGCGTCAAGTCGTCAACCCCCTATTGCCACATTGCTTCATCATACGTTTATGGCAGCTCCGACCACCACTAGATCTACAACTCTCTTCCCCGCACTGCTGCGCATGCCACTAGCGAAGGACTTGGGTGGCTTATTGTGCTCACCATCACCAATGCAACTTGAGCAGTTGCCTTTGTTTCGCACCACCACGCTAATTGGTCCATTTAGAACACGGCAAAATTAAACCGATTTCTATAATTTTCTACACGATTATTATAAAATTTATGTGTTCCAAATAGACCTAAGTTCTCATCTAGAAAATGGCCTTGTGCAGCAAGTTAACCAGCAAGATGGTAGGTTTGTGGGTAGGGTGCTGCCGATTATTGATGGTACAACGTGCACGGTGACATATAGCGCGACGACGACGATGACATATGATGAATAATGAGATCGTGAATGATGGAGCAAAGGTGGCTACTGCTCGTGCGAGTTGAAAACATTTGCCAATAATGCATGGTACGTACCGAAAGACGGATGACCCCACGTACACCACGCATGTCGCAGTCCCACTTGCCTAACCCAAGACATAGCGTGCGTGATGTGATGAGCACCGCGTTCGTACGTCTAACTTGCGGTAGATATGCGTAGAACGCGACAGCCATGAGCCGTGCATGTTTCGGTGTTTCCAATATATATGGAGAGCACCAGCCGGCCGCATCAAGCACTACCGGTCGTCCAGTCTACCGCAATATCTACTCTGGCTAAGTGGCTATATGCTAGACAGCGGCCGTTCCTCCGACCGTGACGCGTCCACTTGACAGTGTTGCCACGCGATTACTCGATCCCTTCGACGACTGAACAAGACTCCGATCCATGCAATCCAAGTTAAAATATTATCGTTCTGGAGTAGAAATTCAGATGTTTGATAAGACCCTATTTAATTTGACAGGGTTTTTTTAGGACTTCTTCACCGATTTAATTGGAAGCCCTACTTAACAAGCATACACAGAAGCGACTGAAGTCAAAACCAAGCTAAAAGGCGATCGAGCTAAAGTCGCTTTGGGGCAAAAGCCGAAGCCACCATAATATAGCTTTTCCTAGCTTCTCTGTTTTTGGAGAAGCCCAAATCTTGCAAAAAAAGTCATAAATGCTAATATTCAGGGCTCAATCATCTATATCTATATCTATATCTATATCTATATCTAATACTCCTTCCATACTAAAAAATAAAGTCATTTTGCACAGCGACACGGTCTCCAAAGTATAACTTTGATTTCTTATTTTTATAAAAATATTTATTGAAAAGTGATATATGTATATTTTTATTAAAGTATTTTTCAAGACAAATCTATTTATATGATTTTCATATTTCAAAACTCAACAACTTTAAAGTTATTCATGATTTATATTCCCAATGTTTGACCCAAGTCTTGTTAAAATGACTTTATTTTTTTTAGTACGGAGGAGTACCTACTAAAGATGATGGAAGTGGTTCTTCCTTCCCTCTTTTTACTTCCAAAAGTGCCCTCGTGCACCTCTCTTCTCTTCTCTCTCCCACCCATGACCTAAACTAGTGAACTCTCATACGACTCAGAATACTGCACATCTAGCCACGATACTAGGTCTGTTTCGAGCCAAAAGTTGTCTAGATGACCAGGGGCGGATCTAGTACCAAGTTGGCCGGGGCTCGACGCCCTATTACCACCGTCGGATGTATGGAGCCCCTCCTAAGACCCCTCCCTGTAAGTTTGTTGTCACCGAAGCTTAGAAAGAGAGACTAAATATACAAAATACGGAAGAGATGCCTCTCCTAGCATACGTTTCTAGATCCACCATTGTAGATGACTCCACAATAAGTTGTATGTCTAAAAAATAAAAACCAAACAAAACATGGAGTTAATATATAACTTATTTTGAAAAAAAAGAACAATCAGCAAAATATCTAACTTTATATCCAATTTAATTTCACACTCATCGCAAAACGTAAAAAAGAATAATCAATGCTAGACTAACAATTACCTGCAAACCACTGTGCTTACCTGCCAGACGAGCAAACTACCCATTGGAGGAAACAAATACAAGAGTCAAATGGATGATAAAAACATCATCAGATTAAAACATATAAATATAAGAAGCAAAAAATACATAAATATACTAAAATCACCCGTAGTGAAGCACAAACATATTTTAAAGTACATAGGGTTTCTATGGCCCTTTTCTACCCCCCCTGCCTATAAGAGTGAGAGCAGGGTCTCCTAGCGTGGTGAAGAGTCTAATCTCAAGGCCCTGTTCGGCAGGACTTATTGCTGCTGCGGCTGATTTGTAGGACTGATTTGTTGTAAGAGAAAAATATTGTTCCATGGCTGAAAAAGTAGGGCTGATTCTGGCTGATAAGCTCAAGCGAACATGGCGCAAGATGAATTAAAACACGTGTCACTCCTTCTATGCCGATACGAGTAATGAAAACCATCTATTCATATTTTAAATGTGTTCATGCACCTAAACCTAGTTTTGAGTCTCCTCTAACTCAAACTTGGATATCTGTTTCCTTCTTATTGAAGCATAAATTCTTGGTCACTTTTTATTTACACATATGATGTATGTGAATCTGTGCTCACTGATGTCATTCTTCTTTGGACAAGGATAATCTTTTTGAGTTGTCCAACCTTTTTGTATTTAACTCCTTCCGTTGCAAATTATAAGACATTTTAGCATTTCTAGATACATCATTTTTACTATGCACCTAGACATAGTGTATATCTAAGTGCATAGCAAAAACTATGCATCTAGAATAGCCAAAACATCTTATAATTGGAAAGAGAGGGAGTATTTCTTTTTAAGTGAAGTTTGATTTGCCCCCTAAATTTATTGTTATTTTTAAAAAACACAATCAAACTTGAATACCGGACAACTTACCCTCTTAATTTTCAAAACCAATAATTTATCTAAAATGATTTATATTGGTTTTGACTCTGGTTTGACCGATGTGGTAGTGGGCCCACATGTCTTCGGTTTTTAAGTCATGCCATCCTTTATTGAATATTTGGGCTCCTTAATGATTTCAAAGGAAAAAAATCAACTAGAAAGTTTTGGATCTCTTCAAGCACTATAAGTTTAGTATAGAGTGTGTCTCCATCTGAGGTTGTTTAAAATTAAAAAAAATAATTTTTCATAATTAGAAAACTTAAAACAAAGGGTCTCTAAATGATCTCAAATAAAAATATTTTTAGATTTATAACTTTGGTATATACCATGTCAATGTCCCAGGTCATTTGAAAAACTCAAAATATTTGAATTAAAACGTGAGAAATTAAAACAAAAATTAAATGATCTCATGTAAAGTAAAAATGTGTCAACTATAAAGTTATAGATCGCATTTACAACCATAATTTTGGTATATACCATGTCAACAGCTAATGTCATTTTGATTTTTTTTTTTCAAAAATGAATTTCAAAATATGAGAACATAGAAACAACTATCTGGTTCTCTAAACTAGCTCGGATTAAAAAAGTTGTCAACAACAACAGTGTATATCTTATTGAGAACTCAACTTTTTGGTATAAACCATGTCAACATCCTATGTTGTTTGAAAAATTTTAAATCTCAAAACCTAAAAACTTAAAAATGAATATTTGAATCTCTAAAAGATCTCAAATAAAAAAGTTGAAAAACACATCAAGGCACTACCAGAAACAGTAGCTTTGCCGAGTGTAACACTCAGTAAACGGCACTCGACGTACACAGAGTCGGCAAACATTTCTTTGCCGAGTGTTTTTTGCACTCGGCAAAGACTTTGCCGAGTACTAAACCGGCTCTCGGCAAAAAAAAGTGGGCACTCGGCAAAGAGGCATCTTTGCCGAGTGTCACATCCTAGACACTCGGCAAAGTGGCCTCTTTGTCGAGTGTAACATTCTGCAAAGACCTCTTTGCCGAGTGTTACACTCGACAAAGCTGCCACATAAATTGAAAAAAAAAACAAAAACAAAAACGAAGGTGATGTAAATGGGTACTGAACTGCATAAGCTATTACTGTACGTAACCATGCCACGTACTATATTTTCCAAGGACTAACAAAGTAAATGTTCACACACAGGATTATCAAAAATATATTTCCCTGAATTCCATTATGCTAAAAGATAGAAAGAAAAGAAAAACTCTATACACCATATATTTTCCCTTGTAATCTTCTCGGCAACAAACACCATCTCTCTACACTTGCTGATCTGGAGAAGAGAAACCAATGAATTTCTAGTATCAGCAGGAGCAGCATAGATCATCACGCCATGCTCCGGTTGTAACTTAGTCATCATACGGGTCAAATTTCACAATGCTTCTTGCATCTGGGAGCAAAGGATGCTTAATGGGTTTGTGCCATTTCTTGTACCAATAACTGATGAGGTATGCCTCCAGTTTCCTAACCTGAGAAAGCAGAATATTATCACAAATCAGTAAGAACTACATTACAGGTGGTCATCAGGCATCATAGAATAAATTAATAGTCAGAAACACCATATGCTCGAGCATTATCTTTAATAAAAAATAATCAGCAACAAATACTTTAGAATGTTTAAACTTCTAATCCACAAGCTAATGTTGAGGACCCTTATATCTATTTGCCAAATCCGGTGTGACTGAATAAAGAATATGATCAGGAACCATGGTCTAAGAACATGAACAAGCCTTTTTAACTGCAACTTCTACTGAACATGACACTGAATCGTTGTTAGAAATTTCCAGCTACTGACAAACATCATTTATAAATGAATGATAGAAGAGCACCTTGGGTGCGATTTGTGAGATAGGCAGTTAGTACTTTAGTACAGTAGTTGTTCAAATAATTTTCATGATGCCAGACTGACTATTATTCTAGGATACAACAATCATCACAAGGTATGGTGTATTGGTGTATCACCCTCTAAGAGCTTGGTTTCCATTCATTAATGTATAACTTATGAGAATATCATGCAGCTTCATATTAGGCCACAAATCCATGAACAAAGCTGTTCACTAGTGCCTTAGCAGAGTATAGTTTCAGCATTAGGGTTATATAAATTGGTGACACTCAACTTCATTTTTCCTTTCACGGTTATAAATATTATCTCAGCTTCACAGGATAAATATGAAATATACCCTTTTGACAATGAAAGATTCATCAGAAACATTTAATGGAGCAGTGACAAATTTATGTATACCACGTTAGTGAAGTATCGGTCACCAACCTGGAGCAGTGACAAATTTAAGTTAGAAAACTTGTACATGTTATGAGTAAATAACTCATAATTAAACTCCTACCATCACAAGATTTGAGGCTGAACAACCAAAGTAAGTCTCTATTTCCTTAGCTGCTCCACCAGGTTTCTTTGTATCTGCACTCAACAGAACGGTGGTGGTATAGAGATGTATCATCCCTGTGCACTCAACAGAACATGCCAGATTGCCAGCAGCACCCAGCACGCCCGCCCTTGCCGCAGCGGCTGCTCGCCCACCATGGCACCATATGGCAACAGCTGAGTGCGTAATATAACGGGAAAAAAACACGGATACGATGCTCAACTCCAAATTGCCAAATTGGGTAGACAATTCTACGATCCCAGAAGTATAAGAGTAACCCATGATGGAAGAGTCAATGGATGGAACCCCGATCGAGAGAACATGGGTGGAAGGGAAACGAGCCCTAACCTCGAAGAGCTGGCTGAGATCGAACGGATCGGCCTTCTCCGCTTGCTGCGACGCCGTTGGAGAGGAGGGGGCGGACGCATCTCCGACGCCGACGAGGGGGCCGTCACCGCCTTCGATGGTGAGGTCGCTGAGGAGATCCCCGATGGTGAGCAGTGGACCTCCGACTCCTCGCATCTATTTTTCTCCTTCCGTACAGGAGACGAGAGGGACGCGGGCCTGGGGCTGGCGGGGCCGGGTGCCGGCGGCGGCCAGGGGCGGGTGTGTCTGTGTGCGTGTGTGGCGCGGGTGGGTGTGTGCGTTCGGATGCGGGGTATATGAGTGGGGGTTGGTCGAGTGTCCCATATCTAACACTCGGTAAACTCATTCTTTGCCGAGTGCTAGACAAGGGGCACTCGACAAATCCAGCTTTTTTTTATTTTCTTTTATTTTCTTCTTTTTCATAACGTATTTTCCTAAATTTGTTCTGATGTACTTTGAAAATATCTTGTCAAATTCACTCAACAATATATATTTGATTTTTCTACGAATATTATTTCATTATTTCATGCAATTATAGCTTAAATTCAATTTATATCAATTAAAATTCTATAACTGCACTTAATAAATTAAAATTATCAAACGGATCAAAAAATTACCAAAATTTCACATGAAACAATCTATATTCTCTATTGCCTATACAAAAAGTTTTGAAGTCAAACCCCAATTCGACCGTCACTTTGACTCCAAATCTTACTAAATCATTCTCAACGCTACAATTCTTCTTCTAAGATGCTTCGGTTTGTAAACATCGTACGTGACAAAACGTGCGAAACCTTATCAATTTTTTACCACAGCCTCCACATATAATATCATCACATCAAGACAAATCTCATAATTTTCAAACTTTGTTTGTTTTTTTAGAATTTAAAAATCATTCGGCCACACGTTCGTGATCATCTTTCCTGAACGAGATGTTCAGAATTTCTTTTTATTTCTAAGGTAAGGCCTCACACTGGACTCAATAACATCACTATCATTTTTCTACTCATTTTATTCTATTATTTGAATCACTTGCGGTTCAAATTTGACTTAAACCAAAAAATTTCTTGAAATGCAATAAATTAATTAAATATAGCAAACAGATCCAGAAATATAACCAAATTTTAACATGGAGTACCACGTGGTATGTGCAGAGTAGAAAAAGCTCGAAGGTCAGAAGAGAAAAAAAACTTATTTATTTGCCGAGTGTAAAAAAACACTCGGCAAAGAGCTTGTTTGCCGAGTGCCAAAAAAAAACACTCGGCATACCCCCTTCTTTGCCGAGTGTTTTTTTTGCACTTGGCAAACCCCTTTTTTGTCGAGTGCAATTATTTTGCCTAGTGTTTTTCGCACAGGACTCGACAAAGTGCTTGTTTGCCGAGTGCTCGAAGGATTGCACTCGGCAAATTGACTGTTTTTGGCAGTGAGGTCTACAATTTGATAGAAAGTTTGTATTCATCGTCGTATGAAAATATTACGATTTTTCTATATAAGAGAAAGAGAGACCACCTGATATTGTGAGTCCCATCGCCACGTCAGCAACACAACCCAAGAAATCACTTTGAAATGGTCAAGGAGGTATTTTATCCATATTTAAAAGCTAAGAGGAGTGACTTGTCCGGTATTAGAGTTCGAGGGTGTTTTTTAAATTTAGTGAGTAAGTTTAAAGACGAATCATACATTACTCTTCTTTTTTTCGGTCGTAGTTTCTAAAAAAAAAAGAAAAATGATACATGCTTAAGGCGTGAGCTGCTTTCGAGGCAGTAATCTAGACCGTCGATTTTGAGTGCCCGGCGGTTTGGGATCGCTGCGTGGACAGCACCCGGCCCTAGTTCGTGACTTCGTGACATTTGGTTGACGTGCACAAAACGTATATACTGACAACTTATAGCTGATGAGAAAAGGGCTGGCACTTTCCTACTGATTCGGTTGCCTGTTTAGGTTTATCTGAGTCAAACTTTCTGACGTCGTAAAATGGGGGAGGCAGTTACTCCACTGCTCCTTTTGCATACAAATATAGTCCAAACTTTCTGAAAGGGAAAAGGGATTTCTTATGGGTGTTATACAGTACTATATGAAGTACTACCATAAGCAGAAGAGCCCTTTTGTTCCAATCCTTGGAGAGGCAAGGTGCGTTACGGTACTATATAGCTCTGAATTTGGGTGCTAATTTCGGTAACTCTTTATAGCTTTCTAATCACAGTAAAAAAAAAAACCTGACCACAACATTTCAACAAGACTCAAGTGCATAAACTGTGTCGAGGTCTCGAGGAGCAAATACAAGTGGCCTTCTTGACCAGAGAGCAATAATGTTCAGAAAGCATGATCAGAACATCAAGTCTTAGGCCCCGTTTAGTTCCAAGCCAAAAATCAAAAATTTTCAAGATTCTCCGTCACATCAAATCTTACGGTACATGCATGTAGTACTGAATGTAGACGAAAAAAAAACTAATTACACAGTTAGCCGAGAAATCATGAGATGAATCTTTTAAGCCTAAATAGTCCATAATTGGATAATTTTTGTCAAATAAAAACAAAATGCTACAGTAGCCCAAAGCCAAAAAATTTCGGAACTAAACGGGGCCTTAGTAACAAGACTGAAATGCGTGAACCTCACCGGATTTCCGTAAAACGCTTGTATATTTTTTCACACCTCTATTGCCTCCATCCAATCATTCCACAGTACAGTGAAGATCTAGTAGAACCGTAGTACAAACACCCTTAGGGCCCCTTTGATTTTTTTTCCTGATCATGTGTTTTTTCTGTGAAAAAATAAACTGATTCCCATAAAATTTCTATATGATCTCTATGAAATCCTTGTGTTTCAAAGGAGCCCTTAATTTGCACGAACACCTAGTACAGAATTTGTCGGGCAATTTGCGAATTTCTAAAATAGAGTACTCCCTCCGTCCACAAAAGAATGCAATTTTTGCTTTTTGAAAAGTCAAACGATTTAAAGTTTGACCAAAATTAGATAAAATACACTAACATTTATGATACAAAAGAAGTACCATAGATAAGTTGGTTGGGTTTCTTGTGGTGGAACCTGCCCATCCGGGTGCAAGTCCTCGACTTGGCACGGGTGCTCGCATTTTTCTGGATTTTTTCCAAGATATAATGGCGATATGCTTTCAGTGGTAGGCGACATCCCCATCGACGGCGATGCTCCTGTGGTGACTTCATGATTCAGGTGCCCAGCGAGACGCCTGTGGTGACTTCGTGAATCTCAAAATCCGTCGGCTCAATCCTTCCGAGGTACTCATAGGGGTAGGATCGACAACGAGGCACCTATGGTGACTTCGTGGATCTCAAGATCTATCGGCTCAGTTCTTTGGAGGTGCTTATAGGGGTAGGATTTGCGTACGTGTGTTCATAGAGGTGAGTGTGTGCTTGTTGTGAGCATCTACGTTGTACTGCGTAATTCTAAAAAAATTGATTATGTATATTTTCATAAGAAACCTAGTTGGAGAGATAAATATTAATACTATTCATTATTATAAACTCAGTCAAAGTTAAACTAGTTTGACCTGCACACAACTCATAATTACATTCTTTTATGGAGAGGAAGTACCAACTACCACCAGTTTATTTCCAAATTTTCTGTTAGAGACATAAATATTAGGGATTTTGGTGTTTCTGCCCCTTATTCCATAGGTTAATGATGATTTTGCCCCTCTTTTTTAAGTTTATGATTTTGTCCTTGTTTTATTTAGATGAAGCTCCCATTTGCCTCTACTATCTAACAACGTCTAAAATGGTTGGATTAAACGACAAAAGAAAAGAAAAGAAAAGGCCCCTATGTGAAAAGACAATTATACCCTTCAGTCTATCTCCTTTCTCCCGTCACAGTCGAATCGTTCCTGAGCATAGCAAACTCGAGAGCGCTTGCGTTCCAGGCGGCGTGGTTCCAGGTGGCGGCGCGACTACTAGGCGGCGCTGCTCCTCCTCCCTCCGTCGTGCTCTTCCCTCGTCTCGTCTCCTCCTACATCTTCCACTCTCCCCCAGCGGCGAGGCTACAGGCTAGAGGTGCCATGAGGCCTGTGGCCGACTCCGCCTGGCCCAATCCCCCAAGCTCACGCCCTCGTGGCGTGGCTGGGGGACTCGCTCGCTGTCATGGCCCCTGCCCCTAGGCTCGTGCCTACAGTAGCAGCTCCAGTCAGTGACCATGGAAGAGTCCAGGTATTTTCTTTGATTTCTGAGATGTGTGGTTGAATTTTGTAGAAAATAGCAACGATTAGTAGATGTGTTAACTCGTTTATTCACTGCTGTGATTTGTAGGATAAATCACAATAAATTGGAACTTGTTAGAGTGCGCTCATTTTTCAGCTTGCCAGACAGTGGTCCAAAAACATGGTGGCAAGGTAGAACTTTGCCAACCAAGGTTGTTGACACAAATAGCTTTGGGCTGCTACAACTAGTTGATTTCATTGCTGAGCACTGCTTGTGGGGTTCTAAGCAGTACATTACCTTGTTGTCAGGCATTATAATCCCAGTTATTATCAGTAATTTTAATGCTAAAACAAAGAGTACCAAAGACCATGAGGTTCTAATATGTGGGCCTGCAAAAGCTAATAGATTCAGGCATGCAGTGAACTTGGATGAAAAGACTTGTAGCTGCCTGGCAAGTGACTGGAAAAACCATGTAGCCATGCTTTGGCTTTCATTGCAAAGATAAGTAGGGAGGTACAGATGGATGAATTTGTCCATGAATACTTCTCTGTTGATAGGTTCAGAAAGGCATATGCAAGTAAATTCAATCCAATGATATCCAAAGATCAATGGCCTCATGTTGATTTAGACTACAAAATCAAGAAACCCAAAATGAGAAGGAAACCCGAAAGGCTAAGAAAATATAGGATCAAGCCACATGATGAAGTTGCCACTGCTAAGAAAAGAAAGATGTGTTCTGAATGCAATGAACTAGGACATACAACCAAGACTTGCCAAGGAGGTCCTACAACTAGTCAAAAGAGGAGAAAGTCAACACCACAAGATGGATCAGGACAAGAAAGCAATGACCCAATGTGAGTCATACATGCATTGCTGTCCAATTCCATTTATTTATCCTAATTATTCATATTTACTTGTACTAACATTTTTTTTTCTAACAAACATTAAGTGCAGGTGCAAGTGGTAGTGCTAGTGCAAGTGCAAGTGATACTACAGCTAGAAGAGGAAGAGGAAGAGGAAGAGGAAGAGGAAGAGGGTCAGCAGAGGCCAACAATGAGACAAAGTAAGACAAGCCAACATTGCTTCTCTTTACTACATATTTTAGTAACTTTACTATATAAATCTTCTCTTTTTCATATAAAGTGCAAGTGCTTCAGGGAAGGGAACAGGAAGGAGCGGAAGAGGAACAACTTCTGGGAGGCTTGCTACTTTATTAGGTTTCGATGCTTGATATATAGCTCACTACTAGTTGCCTAGAGAATTCACTAGTAGCTTCTACTTTTGTTTGACATGTCATTTAGACCTAAATGTTAGTGTTTGACATGTCATTTGGACCTGTATGTGGCTTCTATTGTGGTACTATGGTGACATGTTGCATGGATCTGGTTTATATGTACTAGTTGTGTGATATTAAATTGTGTTTACGTGGATTGTCAGCTGAAATGCTGTCGATTTTTTCTGTCTGAAAATAAGGGTAAAACACAAATAACATAATAAAACAGGGGTAAATACGCATGGGCAAAGTTATCCTTTTGTCCAAAATTTAACACCGTTAGAGGCACTTAACAGATCAGGGGTAAACTCTTCCTTCGTTTAAAATAGCAGGGGTAAAATCACAAAGTTAAAAAAACGAGGGCAAAATCACAAATGGTCATCAAGAGGGGTAGAAATGTTTAAACCCCTAAATATTAATATTATTCACTATTAACTCGATCAAATTTAAACTAGTTTGATCTACATGCAACTCATAATTGCATTCTTTGTGGACTGAGGAACCAACTACCACCAGTTTATTTCCAAATTTTCTGTTGGAGACATAAATGTTAGTACTATTTACTATAAACTTGGTCCAAGTTAAAGTAGTTTGACAAGTACGCAATTCATAATTATATTCTTTTGTGGATAAAAGAAGTACCAACTACCACCGGTCTATTTTCAAATTTCCTATTGGAGACATAAATGTTAGTACTATACACTATAAATTCGGTCAAAATTAAACTAGTTTGACATGTATTCAACTCATAATTATATATTTTTTTTTTGGACATAGGAATTATATTTTCCACGCCTCTATTGCCTCCATCCAATCATTCCACAGTACAGTGAGGACCTGGTAGACCCGTAGTACAAACACCCTTGACTAGTTTGCAGGGGTACAATTACAGACACGAATCTCGAAATTTGTCGCTTATATATATTCCTCGGATATATATATTCCACAGTACAGTGAAAAGCCGGAAAGGCACCCCGGCAATTTGCGAATTTCTGAAATAGAGTACGTACCAACTACCACCAGTTTATTATTTCCAAATTTCCTGAGACCAAACGAGCGTCAGAACCAGACGGGGACAAATATAAAACAGCGACTCCCGGACAACGTTTTGGCAGCACGCCACACCACACAGCAGCCGTTCCCAACCGCATCAACCTCGGGTGCTCTGCTGCCAGTGCCTGGCAGGCGCCATAGCTCTCGGGCCTCGTGCAGCCTGCCGCCGCGGCCGCGCGTGCTAGCCTGCCTAGTTCGCCGTAGCACAACAAAATCACCGCGAGCCGGCGCCGCGGGAGGGTGGTGGTGGTGTTGGAGCAGCAGCGGGCCGGCGGGCGGAGCGGCGGCCGAGAAATGCCCGGTGGCGCCTCCCTCCTCAACAGCGGCGGTGGCCTCACCGTCCCCGTCGTGGTGACCTGCCTCATGGCGGCCTCCGGCGGCCTCATCTTCGGCTACGACATTGGAATCTCAGGTGCGGCACCCCCGTCCCCGCTTTCCGTGTCACGCGTGTGCGCGAGTAATTATTATTGTCTGCTTGCTTCGGTTGTCTCTTGCGGCATCATCCTCGAGACTCGAGTAGTGTAGGATATGCATTCGCTGTGTGTTCGTGTGATTGAGCTAGCCCCTGTCGATTAGGATTCTGTGGCTTCCTCCCCCTCATCGTTGATCTTGTATGCGTATCCATGATAGAGAGGGGGGCGTTTGCTTTATTACCGTCGCAATTTCCTCTTCCGTGAAAGAGCGTCCAGATCCTCTAAGTCACATTTTGTGTCACGTTGTTCATCTTTTATACTAGCTATATATGGCCCTGTTTGCGTGCTTTTAAACCCGGCTTGATCCGCTTATTTTTTCATTCGGAACAGTATTTTTCTCTCATAAATTCCTCCAGCATTCTTCCAAACCATCCAGATTCCTCCAGAATTCAGACAAGCGAACATGCCCATATTGTTTATTACCATCAAGAGAAGTTCATGTAAGACGTCTCAGGAGGACACGACGGTGAACTCTCTGGTCTCCGTGCTAGGGGAGTTATGAGTGAGAGCGAGAGAGGGCGGTGGAGGACGCGCCCATGGCAACGGCGTCCACCTTTGGTCTTGGTTCTCCACCGGCGAAGGGCGGATCAGGTGAGCAATACACAAGTACGTATTTCTAGTGTTTCGGTGAAAGGAGATGGGGCGGAGGATGAGGACGGTGAATGGCACTTCATCTGTTACTGCGGGAGACGGCCTATATCTGACCCGGCAGCGGACCTCAGTCCCATAGGAATGAAATCCAAATTCTGGTCACTGGCGGACGATGATGATTCTGAGGTCGCGTCCCAGTCGCCATTCACGCCGGATTTGGTGCGTCAAGTAGCTGTTCATGGTTTCTCCAAGGAACAACTGTGTGAGGCGGAGATGGCTTTGCAAGACTCATCGGTTCGCCGGCGGGTAGATGCATCAGCGTGTCTGGCTCCAATGGACAAGAAGGTAGTGCTGGTAAGAAATATCACGAAGGCTTGGATAGATGTTCGGCGGACGACGAGGACGCCGTGGTCAGGGAAGCTGCCGCGCCCAAGGATATCACCGGTGATCACTCTTGGCGATTGTGCGGTAACTGATGTTCACGGTCGAAGGCCAGTTGCAAGAGGTACTCTCAGTGAGGTACTAAGGGAGACATCCTCAGCGACTCCGGCGACGACATGGCTCGATGTCGAACGTCGAACTTTGATGTTTTTTCAAAATCCGCCTGATCTGAAACTGATGCTCGAGGAACGGCCGTCGTCTCGATCCGTAACGCACGCAAGGACGGGTGGGCCTCATGATGAGGTCCAACGTGGGCCCTGTACGCTGAACGGCCAGGGACGCTGCAGATGCCGCGGTGCCAAACTAGCGGCTCGGTTTTTACTCGAAAAGTTTGATCTTGATGCAATCAATAGGAAAATCCTAGCCACCACTCCCTACTCAATTTATCCTTCATACATCCAAGTGCTGCGTGCAGGCATGGCGGCACCAGGCACGGGTGGCGTGGGAAACGGTGGCGGAGGCAGTGAGGGTGGTGGTGCCGAAGGAAGGGGACTCTTAGCTAGTCGTGGCGGAGGACGTGCAGGCGGTGGTGGTGGTGCTCGCGGTGGGAGACAAGGCTATGGCGCCGGGTACGGCTACAACTACTACGACGAAGGCGCGCATTTCAACGGACCTCCTCGATTCAATCCCAATCTCAGGGTTCATCCGCCGAACTATGGCCCGGGCTAGGACTATGAGCGATGGCGAAGGGGACGGCATGGCGACAATGGTGGTCGCAGCTGGAGTAGTCCTTACTGGCATGGTCGCAACTATCAGCGACATGTGCCGCAGCGGGAGCAGCGAGTACTGTAGCATGGACCTCCGCAACAGCAATCATCAGCACCCCCGCAGTTGCCGAATCAGCAACAGTTGCCGCAGTGGGAGCAGCGGGGGCCATTGCAGCAGCAAGCACCGGCACCCCCGCAGTTGCCGAACCAGCAACAGGCGCATCAACCTCCACCACTGACGTCTGGCACGGTCGCTCGGTCATTGTCGCAGCAACCGGGGCTAGGGTCCGAACATCAGGTCAAGATCAACACAGAGCAGCATCAGGTAACAGGGAAAGGTTTAATTCTGTCTGAGCAAAGCATTGGCAAGACTGACAAGGAACGACAGTCAGCACCACATATGTTGCATGGTTTGTCCTTGGTTGCTGGAGCAAGTGCTATGCAGATTGAAAATTCGTAGATTGGAGCAACTAATGATGGTGCAGTGGAGGTGTTTCAAAAGGCAGCTACTTCCAAAATGTGCGGGCAGTGTGGAGTAAAGGGTCATTTGATGTTTGAGTGCACGACGACAGTTTTATGTGAAATTTGTAAGAGCACTGACCATGCCATGATTCGGTGTCTGATACTCAAGCAACCGAAACCAATAGCTCAGTTAGTTGGCCAGGCAGCCGATGCACTTGCTGGCTATCATATTTTACATGCACCCATACAGCCAGCAAAGATTCCAGAATGGCTCTAATTTCTACTTCAACAAGAATCTGACAGAGGAGGAAGTGGCAATATTTTTGCGGGTGTTGGTCTCTGATACTTTTGAGTGGGATGTAAAAAGGCACAATGACTTTGAGTCTAAGGTCATTTTCCCTACTAAAGGGGATCTTGTCAAGATGACAAAGTTCAATGCAGAGATGAAGGAAGGGGTCACTCTCAAATTTCAAGAATTTAAGAAAGATGAAGAGTATTTTGGCCATGCTCTACCAGTGGTTTGGATGCGAGTCATCAACCTGCCGACAAATCTAAGGGAGTACGTCATTCTGGGGGCACTTGGAACTCTTTTCGGTGTTACCCAGCATGTGGATATGGTGACTACTAGAGCCAATAACTTTGGGTGGTTTGCAGTGGCAGTACTAAAACCCGAGGCAATTCCGACCAAACTAGATGCCATCATTGGTAATAGGTACTTTCAGTTGATTTTTGAGGTTGAACCTTATTTACCTAACATTGGAATGCGAAATATTTGGAATATACAAAATGATGGGAATGAGGACCACCGTAATGGTGCGGCAAAAGACACTGTGATGAAGGAGGCACAAAATACTGGGGGAACTAATATATTAGATGCAAGCGTCGGAAATGCAGCAAAAAACAACACGACCGCGAAAGAAGATAAGGCTCCTGAGACACAGATGGATTAGGATTGGTCAAATGATGATATGCTAGGAGAGGACCATGAACTTAACGAATCTACACGTAATTTTTTAGAGTAAAAAAAGGAGATCCGGTAAATGTGAAGAATGCAGCAACAATTGCAATGTCAGCCTCTGGGACGTTGTCAGCACCGGCACGCATGTTGTAGCGACCTTCGCAGTATGCTAGGCCGGCTGAAAAATTGGTGAGTGCGGCCTTGGCGCCACAGTCTAGTACTGAAGGTTCGGCAAGGGATGGCTGCTTGGGCCGGGCCCAACAGCCCACGCTGTCGGCCAGTGCTGCTGCAAGTGGCCTCAGAGAAAAATAAATCCTGTGAACAGCCGTCCACCATGTTTGATAATGAATGTGTGGAGATCTCAGTTGGGCAGATCGATGGGGCAGCAGAAGGGGCGTTTGCAGATGGTGCTCAACACCTTGGTGTTCTTCTTGACGCCGTGTTAGGAGCGGGAGTGGTAGATGATGGTGAGTCAAAAAAGGATTTGGGTAGTGTCATGAAAATGGCGATTATGTCAAATGGAGAGTTAACCCCAGTACGGCGGAGCAAACGGAATGCGGAGGTGGCTGATGTGGACTCTCAAGAGAAGGCAGAAAGAAGAGTTGTCGTCAAGAACCTCGAGGAACCCCAAGGTAATTTAAATGTTAATTCATTTTGTTCCTTTTCTAATGTTCGTATTAAGGAAAACTTAGGGAGAGTGGGTATTAGTTTGGGTGACAAAGATGATTTAATGATCGGGTCTATTGCTCTTTTAAAAAATGTTGAAAGGGAGAGACTGAAACCATCTATTTGTCTCAATAAAATGAAAATGAATTTGATTCTGAGGAGGATGAGATCGATCTAGACACCTTCACCATAAGTCGACTCTGTGGCGTCTTAACGGAGGAGGTGATGGATGATAATAGTGCGGACATCGATGGAGTACTTGTAAATGTGCCCATCAAGGTGGCAAAAACCAAAAAGAAAAAGAAACTCCTCAATAAGAATACAACTGCAAGAAAAAATAGTATTTCAATGAAAGGTATTTTCTGGAACTGCAGAGGTCTGCGTGATTTAGCTAAACACACCTTTTTACATGATGTGGCTGGGATAACAAACTTGATTTCATAGCTCTACCAGAGACCAACAAAAATAGTTTTTTGACTCAGTGTCTAGAAAACTTTTGCGCGGGGGCTGATTTTGTTTGGCATTGGCGATGTCCTCGGGGTATGTCCGGGGGGATGCTAATGGGAATACATCAAGGTTGTTTTGAAATAGAGAACATAGAGGATGGTGATTATCATATCAAGTTTCTCATAAAAAATAAAGTAGATGGTTTTCGATGGGCTCTATTGTCTGTGTTTGGTGCAGCACAAGAAGAGCACAGAGAACACTTTCTATCAGAGTTAGTACGAGCTTGTACTAGCAGTGGGGATCTGCCTTTCTTAGTAGGGGGAGATTTCAATATCATTAGGAACCCTTCGGAAAAAAACAATTCAAGATATAATAATAAGTGGCCTCTTTTGTTTAATGCTATTATTGAAACGTTAAATTTAAGAGAGCTGGAGTTAACAGGTAGGAAATATATGTGGGCAAACTATGCAGATGTTCCAACATATAAAAAGTTGGACCGTATCTTAGTAAAAACATATTGGGAACAAAAATTTCCTTTAGCTTCTGTCCATGCACTTACCCGAGAGATCTCAGATCATACACCTTTTTTATTAGATAGTGGTGAGCCATCTCATAGAGGCAATGTTTTGAATTTTAAGTTCGAGCTAGGGTGGCTAACAAGAGATGG